TATTTCTAGGCTGTGGAACAGGAGCAAAGATTTACAAAGCTGCAGCATCTCTGAAGCATGATTTCTAGTCAAGGAGGGGAGAAAAAGAGACAATTCTCTGCAATCTCCACTGGAAACTTAGCTTTGGGATTCACATGACTATAAGTACAATATGTTTGACTGCTCAGCCCTCCTTAGCCTTCCCTTCCATCTCTTTATGCTGCTTAAATCTCAGTTTCAACCATGTTTCTATGCATATTTCTTTATTACGCAGAGCTATTTTTACATCACTTTGTTGTGACAAATTTGAGGAGCACTGTGTGCTACTTTATGCAATCCATATTTCCCTATGGATTTTATAAGAACATACTATATTGATTTAAATGTAATAGGGACTGACATAGTTTGGCAGGGATGCACAGAACTAAAACAAAAAATAACTACTCTCACAGATGATGGGTAGATGGAAATAGGTCTATGGAAAGATAGATGGATACATTCCTTGCATGATGTGTTACAACGTGCACAAAAAGGTAATTTTCAGTCAAAACAACATAAATAATAGCTGGCAACATTAGCTGTCTTGAGTCACAACAGTCTTGTAAACTGTGACATGAAGATACACTATATGTGCAGCTGCTGCGGTTTACAAGACTTCCATGACTCTAGGTGTCTCTGGCGATCTCATAGAAGAGGGATAGACTAAAAACAGACTGCACACTGATCTGAACGCTGGGTTTGTGTTTGCTGATGACACTTCATCTCTGGTTACAAAAGCTGAACCCCTGGGAGTATGAAGAGTTTCTGCTTTTTTACCCTGCCATGTTGGCAGGTAGCTAGGTGAATAGCAGTTGTCTGCAGATATCGTGAAGCAGTGCAAATAGCAGAGGCAGGGTGAATTAGTGTGCAGACTTTTCTGCTCTATCAGTGCTGAAACTGATCATTAGACTGGATGTATGTGTTCTATTATTAGATGGAAAGCCATAACATTTTTTACAGACATTCATGTTTCTTCAGCATGAATTGTAATAAGTTTGGCCCTGACTTTTCTTCTAGCGCCATCTTCAAGTCAAAATTGTAATTTATACAATACTTTGGTTTATGACCAAATACCCTGACAGTCCCATAAGCCTCAGCTGTCTCCTCTGTGATCCAATCACAGCTGAGCAAGTCTCTGTCACAACCATAGTCAACTTTTTGAAGGCGGTAAAAAGATAAAAGCGACACATAGTCACATCTTAAGTTAGCCAGCTAATGTTAGCAAACACAAGCTAAATAGCCAAGTAGCTAGCTAACGACTGATTGATTAGCTAGTTAGCTAACATAAGCTAGCTAACATAAGATGTGACTATATATGTGGCTCTTATCTTTTGGCCATCGAAACAAAATTTGTATTTTCTACATAAATTAGCCTAGCACATAGCATATCTTAGCACAGGAAAGGAGGAGGTTGACCGAGGCTTGCTCAACTATTATTGGAGCACAGAACAGAAAGGGGTCAATTGGTGCAATTTTTTTATTCTAGATCTAAATATATGTGTTAATTGTTTTAGTCTTGCAGGAGGACAAAAATAATTACAATTAAGAATTATCCAAGCAATTTAAATTTTTTGGCCCTATCACTTAGCACTAATAGGTAAACAGAGATAGAGGGATGGATAAACAGATACAAGCATCGATGTCTCAAACTTGACTCCCGTCTCAGTGTCTGCAGCGGCTCATTGCAGAAGCCTGACCATTACAGTCTCTGCATTGCAGTTAATTAAGGCATTGTCTACAGCTGTGAATGCCTGTTATAATGACTGGCTGGCTGCCTGCAACCCCCCACCAATCCTAACCTCCTCATCTCCACCCGTCCGCTCGGCCCCTCCCATCCCTAGCCTCTGCCCATTAAATGCCTATCACCTTAACAGCCCTGGGGAGAGAGGCGAGGCAGCAGCCACCCAATCCCGCCAAACTGGTCCAATAGACCCTCATCAATGTGCAAACTCCGTGTGCTCTGCTGTCTACTCCAAACACACACCGTAAGCTCTGCAAACACATACACACACAAAGGGAAAGACGTATGTAAATAAATGGTGGGCAAATACACACTACTTGAAAAGGCCAACTATCACACACATAAAGGTCATTTCACTGACATATTTCATAAGTTATACACGCACACACACCCTCTTCTCTGCTGCAGCGCCACATCCAGCCCTGTCATATTAAGCACTGTGATTGCTTGTCATGCAGAGGCTTCTTTTTCAACCCTCCCACCCCTCCACACCACCCCCTCTCATGCCCGACGCCAAAATTGGCTCTAAAACCGCATGTCACTTTTGATTTGACCCGGCAGACCCTGAAACAATAACTTCATCAGGCCCTGTTAGAGTCTCATCCCGAGCAGACAGCTCCAAAAACAAACACTGATTTCCCTTCATCTAGTCTAGAGGGCACCTTCCGTCTTTTTCGCTCTGTCTCTGTCTCTCAGACGAGATGAGCCCATAAATGGCCGTCAGAGTGCTCTCCTGCGCTCAAGGCTCGTCTTCCTGCGCCTTTTTATTTATTACGAAGGAGGATATCGTCACATGCTATAGCAGCAACGCAGGATTAAATGGGTCACCCCACGAATGCTTGGACACTTACAGAAATATGTCACCATACGCCGATACATGTGTACTAACTTTCGGAGGTAAAACTAATCCCCCCGACTCTGCATCATAATCATAAGCCGCTTGTCAATATGGCTTACTTACAACTGTGTCACTGACTCGGAGTGAAACTGTGACACCAATAACTCCTCAGGAGTAAACTGTCCTGTCTGAACAGATCATCTACTGTCTTGGAGTTGCTGCTCACATGAAGGGAGAGTTGGTTTATAAAGGAACTCGAGCCGTTTGATAAACCAAGGGGACCGATAGCATTCAGGAACATGGATGATGATGTTTGTCCTCAGCTTCTCCGCACTCCATCACCCTTTACGGGAGAACGGTGGCCAACTGGGGCTGCTCGAAATGGGAGACCCTCTGGGCTGACATGTCCTCTTGTCAAGGACACTGGAAGAGTGATACGGGGCGGGGGGCGTAAGGTGGGCTGAGACCCAATGTGCATCTCTAAGTGTGATCCAGTGTGATGTTTCAGGGTTCTCTGTGCGTGGTTATTCTCCTGTAATTTCCCTTGCTGATGTCCACAATTTGACAATCTGTCCCTCCCATCACTTCCACACCAAACATGCTTCGTGATGAGATAATAGAGTGAGACTTAGCTATTATGTCAACAGTGCATATGCCAGAAATTAAGTCTCATCATTATCAAGTTAGGGGACGGGAGTCGGGTCCCTTGTGGGCTCCTGACAGGCCTAATGGTCTAATAATGGGATAGCACATGTAATGGCCAATCTCAGTGGAATAGATTTATCTCTACAGCACATAGTATATGTGTTTCTGTAGAAAACAGAAACATACTGAACATGTGGTTTTACGCCCACATATACATGCATGTGCAGTAATAGACACTATTTGTCTGATAGTCCCACCCACCCACGGTGATACACATATGTCAGAATAAGTGCACCCATATAGACGCAGAGTAAATCATAATTACAGTGATGAAATACCCTCTCAGCTCTCTTAATTGAAAACAAATGGGACCCGGGCCTGTCCCTAGTGTCTCCACGCTGATGAGTGGAAGGCTGTCCTCGCTGGCTTGCAGTCACACTGAGAAACAATAGCAACATTCAAAAGACATTCAGAGGCTTAATTTGTCATCATTAAGCACAATTATGCACACGGAAGTCATTGGCAGACAATGACATGTGCATGAAGTGCAAATGTGCAAAACACATGCACTGAGGAGCAGCCGTAGTCTTTCATACCTGTGTAATCTGCATACAGGCAAACACACTCCTATCACGCCAGAGTCTCTCATTTCAGTGGTCCGTAGCACACCATCTCTAGAGAGCCTATATTTTGCAGATGCACACATTAGTGTAGTATCCTTTTCACAAACAAACACAGTCCCTCTTTTCTTACAGGGATTGATTTACCCATAAAAAAGCTCTTTGGCCTCTCCCGTCCTTCTCTTCCAAGTAATTACCTCATCAGGTCTGTTTTTAACCCACAACCTTCCAACACTCCCCTCCCTCCACTGTCCATCTTCCCTCACATTCACATGGCTCTTAACAGGGGTCAAGGTTGCATCAGTCCAAGTGCTATGGTGGGATGTCCCAGAGGAGAGCTGGGATGCAAATATGGGGTAGAAAAATAAATGAAAAAGTATGAAGAAAAGCAAACATCAGCTGGAGAAAATAAAGGGAGAAAAACTACACCTGTCAGACCTTCCCGCACTCCACCCCTTTACCACAAGTCCTGGTAACACATTAGTATTGGACCCTGGTTAAATGGTCGACCCTATCCTCCCTTCATCCATCTATCCATCCAGATGAATGGTAATGACCACAGAGAGGAACAGCCCCTGCTGAATTAAACATTTCCTTCCAATGAGGATTTTATTTTCCTCCTTTGGATGGCAGAGCGGGGCGACATTTTTTTCCACTGGCAGAGGTACTTTATCATTGTGCAGCTCAGGTGCATTGGAGGTCAATGACACAGACCCAGCAGTGTTCTAATATATTCCATCTCAGGGCAAATGAGATGCATTTCACTGTGAACCTTCAGTCTCAGGGTCAAGCCACAACTGCCCCTGCAATTTATTTGACTGCCAGGTTCAGGCTGCCTTTCTAAAAGTGGCACGTGCCCAGCCCCATAATGGCTCCACCTGCAGCAAATCAGGGTCCAATCTCCCTAAAGTGTTGCCAGGGAAATCCCATGTGATTGAAACAGTCCCTCTATCTCCCCTGTTTCACACTGTTTCTGTGTATTACTTTGTGTTTCATGTGCAAGCTCGCCCAGAGACCATGACTGATTTGTATTCTTTTGCCCTTTCTCTCCTTTTTGTTCCCTCTTTCCATGGTTTCTCTTCTTCTCTTACCTCCACTTCCTCACTCCTCTTCGTCATTTCTTCATCTTCCTAATCAGGTCGTCAGCTGACCATCTTCAACAGCCAGGCATTCATCAAAATTGGTGGCGGTGGAGAGAAAGGACGCCACTTCCAGGGCCAAATCTCAGGCCTGTACTACAATGGCCTGCAGGTGCTCAAACTGGCAGCCGAGGGCGACCCCAATGTACAGACCCAGGGCAACCTGCGGCTGGTGGGTGATGTGCCCTCGGTGCTCACTACTGACACCACCTCCACCACTCCGCTGGCTGATATGTCCACCACAATCATGGAGACAACCACCACTATGGCCACAACCACCACCCGCAAACAGCGCTCGCCCACCATGAGGGACAGTGTCACACAGGTGAGCAGATCCAAGGTTGTTTACATGAATCACACTGAGAAGAATGTGCTGTAGCTAAAAAAAAGGCCGGTGTTTGAGTCATTGAGCCGGGGAGATATTTTTGGTGCAGTGCATTGTGATGGAACATTGCCAGTTACTTTTAATTGGCTTCCTAAAGTTCCTCCAAAGTCTCAAAGTGCTGAAAACAATATTTGAAAGATTAAACAGCATGGCCAAGTAACCAGATGGCCCACACTGGACGAGTCGAGGTGCGTTTCAAAAGAAATCATACGTCAGCTGCAAGGTCAAACAGTCACATCCTCAGCACAGAGTTTTGTGTGAGCTTTCCCTTTTTAGCCCTCAGCCACATTCAGATGTTCAAACAGCCCCTCAACTGAGAGGGAGTCGCATAACAGCTTTGTGTTGCTAGTCCTATTAGACCAATCAACACTGCAATTTTGATTTCCTCTAAGAAGATATGGCTGACTAAACCCCCAGACGTGGTAGGATGCTGGAAATTACAGCACTTCCAGAGAGATCAACAAAGGCTAGAGGAGGGGAGGAACATAATGAAAAGGAAATCCTGCGGCAGCAACATCACAGCTTAGGGTGCTATAAACGTGAATGTGAAAGGCTGTGATTTATGGACTGATGATTATCTACATGTGCTAAGGGTAGCCATCACCATCATGGTAAGCAACAATTAGCAAACAGTAGGGAAGCACCGTTGCTCACATACTGAAATATGGAAGAGGTGGGTCCTTCAGGCCCACTACTCTCATAAAAAGACCTAATAACAGGGTCCATGAGTTCCAGGGGGGAATATGCTCTAGTTCATGCCCAATATCATTAGTTACAAGCTGTGTGTGTGCAAGAAGACCTTGCTGCACAGCACTTTAAAGGTAAGTGTGATCCCAGTCATCATTGCAAGTTCTATGCTGGATGTACATTATGTCAGCTATTTTATATGTTATTGTAATCACTTTGTACTGGAGGTACTTGAAAGCTGTCCTCTTTAAAAGCCGTCCATTTCATACTTTAAACTTCAACCGTGCTACAAACTTTTCTGATGTCGCAGGAAAAACACAAAGGGAAGGTGCCAATTACCAGCGCATTTCTCTTATTCAGTTGTATTCATTAGCACTATTCATGTCCACAGAAGCTTATCCAAGATCAGTCAGCAAGCCACTCGCTCTCGTCCCTGCCAACCCTGATCAGCAGATTCTGAATATATTTAGACCGGCTCACTCTTTGTCCCTTTATCATCATCTCAAACCTTAGCAGATTCCATCCTTTGAAAGCCTGTCTCATTTTGAGCAAACACAGCAGCGCCAATTACAGTGAAGTCAAGGTGAAACTGTCAATGGCACAAGTGTGCGATTCATGCCACTTTGTATCGCAAACAACCAGTTCAAAGAAAATTGGAATGTTGGTTTTGCATCAACTCCTGGTTATTTGTTGTTGTCTTTTACATTTAGAAAAAGTCCCTAAATGAAGCCTCCACAGCCTCATCAAAGTAGTGCTCTGATGCCAGCTGACAACACATATGAGGGTGGTTGTGTTCACAAATGTTCACCCAGGCACTTTCATGTTGAGAGTGCTATGTAAGTACAAGCAGGTGAGATTTTTTTGGACTTAAAGGTCAATCAAAGCTCTTTTACAGACGACATTGTCTCTGGCGTGCCCGGTTGGCATGGCTTATTCAGATGAATGGTCTTGTGGTTTAGTGTTTCTGCGTCATCTCTCTAAACATGAGATCAATGGAACCTGACTCCAAGATGTCACATGTAACCATCCACTCCGTTCAATATCATATCTGTGGCCTCCAGACTTCTTGGCGGAAACATTCTTCCGTGTTCAGCATATAATGAGCTTGTATAGCAGTGGTCTGTGATGTGAAATTGGCAGCCCTAGACGGCCGTTTGATAAATTATCTGGAACCATTTTAGGATAGCAAAGGACTCCGAGTGTTGTCTGCTTCTCTATTTTTACAACCCTTAATGTGTGCTACATTCAGTGACTGACGTTTATGTTTGGTCATAAAAAAAGCAGAGTTCTACCTTTAGAGTGCTTTTTATTGCTAAGAATCTATTTTTCAGCTAATGTACACACATTTTAACAGCTTCTTCTTTATTATTCATATTATTATTATGTGCCTAGCTGAATGTAGTGTATTGTCACAATAGCCCAAAATAGCATTAAGGATATGTGTGTGAGAATGAATAGACATTACCAATGAGTCACTCATCCACATACTTTAATGATCAAAGAGGCAATACGTTGCACAAAAACATAAGTGCCTTATTGGGGCGTATAGTTGGCTAACACAGTCCTTATCATTCATGCAGATGGTCCCAGTGAGACTAAATATCTTTTATTCTGGAATTCGTTCTTATTTGGAGGTGTTGAAGGCCTGGCAAGCTCATCGGCTCCCCCTTGACGAAGAAAAGAATCAAACAGACACGGTTCAGTGAAGGGAGGGAAAAGAATAACTGTTGTTCTAAAATTGTGTAGAATAGACACAGTTGTAGTCGAGTAAAATTAAGCAAAGGAGTCATGAAAGGTTGAGGATTACATTGATTTTGAACAGCTGAGAGGCAGTAGACAGTGTATGAAATCTTTTATATTTGCTTTTCTAAGCACTCTGCGTCTGGTATGTCTGTCCGGGGAGAAAGCCTGTGGTGCACAGGAAATGTTGTTTTTTATATTATTTATATTTATGGCAGAAGTTTGGAATAAATAGAGAAGAAATTATATTTAGCATGAGTGGTGGTGTGTATCGTAGCTGAACAAATGAGGAAAAGCAAGTCGCTTATTAAAACTTCAAACTCATATAAAACTCAAACTCACAGATAAGCACTGTTAATAGCTCGAATATGGGCAGCGAGTATGTAGCACTATGACTAGGAAGGTCTTTTACATTTAGACTTAACACAAAGAAATGAGGGAATGAACATTATTATTATTATTATTATGGAGTAGTAGAATATATATTTAATTGTATGTTTTTTTCTCACTTCATTGCAGAATAGCAAAGTGAAAGGAGTTATTCAGGGTGAACAATTGTGTTTGAAAACATCAGTGTTTTTATAAAAGCATTGATGAAACTTGCAAATACAAGCCTGTGTACATAAAAGCTTTGGGGTAGAAGTTATCTGCGACTCCCAAGGTCGCTTACATGCAGTCAGTTACATGCACCGGCAACGGTGGGCAGAGGGTTAAAATAACGCTGTTGAGAAAAACGATTTAACAATCTGCAGAATAAATACATTTATTTTCAGATTCTAGGTTAAACTGGATTAACGGAGTGTAGTGTTCATTAGTCATTTTCCATTTTCTGTTAGTCAACATTATTTTCAGAAGCACACACAGAAGCTGCTGTAGTGTTGCTAGAAGCAGATAATGTTTGTCATGTTGTTGCTAATTGTTTGTATCTCGCACATAAAGATAATTCCCCCATTCCTATATGTAGGCGGCCTACAGAACTCTGGATGGCTCACTTTGTTTTCCAGTCAAAGAATTGACATCAGGGGCATCATCAACTACACAAGACCTATTTAAATCCCTATTTAAAAACTGGAGAGGTGGGGAGTGATTTAGAGGGCCAGGAACCAGGAAAGCCCATATATAGTGGCTTTAAATAACGCAGAGCTGTTATTTAGGCAGTGATTTACATAGTCAGTGTGTTCTGACTGCAGCTATGTTTGGTAAAACTCTGCTTTACTTGGTGGTAGTTTGGTTTTCCACTTTTATTTGGTAATTACTGGTTGTTCTGATCAACCCATAAATCCAATATTAAATGGTAGTTGGCAGTCTGTGCACAGTTTGCAGGCTTTATAGAGATTTGTATATACAGAATGTTACATGAAATGGATAATTCACTGACTGCTCAGGAATATTTTTGAAAGGAATTTTAATTAATTCAATTCAATTCA